CACCTGCCTACCTCCTTTTTCAGCCAGACCTCGATGCCATACTGGTGGAGAAACTCCATTTGTCGAAGGATGATAGTGGCATCCTCCACATTCATGACCTGGAGCGGGACAGGTTTTAGGGACGTAGAAGAGGAAAATCTGACTCCAATTCACCTTCAAGGCACCTGAAATAATGCCGGCGAAAAACTCCCCATAAAAAAAGGCCTGCTGTGCTCTTTTTTGGCCTAATATGTGGTTTGTGATTGGGTACCTATAATTACATGCGTTTGGCATCTTTCTGATTGCAACAACTGAGAATGACTGACACACAAACCGCAGTTCTGTTTCCCACACCGCACCTTGCTCAACTTGGTCCTGTCATATGGTGGCAGGTCGTCCCTGGTAACCATGACAATTCGACCCCCATATTTCTCCTGTCGAAGCGTCTCAGCACAAACCAAAGCAGCAGGTCCTGTAATAACAAAAAAAACTAAATAATCAGTATTCAGTCTTTGTCATGTCTAGGACAGAGGCCTGTACTACTCTGCAAAGCCTGCCGCTTTCCTGAGCCGTGTTGCCCCTCCTCACCTCCTCCTATCAGTAGCACTGTGTGGGTGACTCCTGGGTCTTGGGAGTGCATCTCCTTCATCCTTTTAGTCTGCTTCAGAGCCTATGGGGGAATAGTAGTGAGGTGTTTGATGCAGACGGACACATACAGATATATACATGTACAAATTTATGTTCAAAAGTTAAAGCTTCAAGGAGAAAAACATGCCTAAGCACAGGAACTGACCTTGACCTTTGCTGACACAAACACTTTATTGTTCTCAACAGTTACCTACAAAAACAAAACAGCGTTACTAGTAAAGATGTATTAACGTGATCCTCGGTTACAAATAAAGTTTCTGTCCCTCTGTTCTTGCAAGGACGACAGACAGACGTCAAAGAGCTACCTTGTGAAGAGGTAAGCAGTCCAGGCCAGGATATTCCTCTATATCTCCGGTCTGGACATTAAAGCATGCTCCATGCCAGGGGCATCGCAGCCGGCCGCCAGACAGCACCCCTGTCGCCAAAAACAGCTCAAGACCAGTCCTACTCCACAGCAAAAGCTCAGGGAGAGATACCTGCTTCAAATGCAGGTTCAGATATGAAACAATGGCCTTGCTTTCATGGTGCAGCCTCTGACATCTACCTGACACGCACGCGGATGGCTGACAGTGGGACTGTGGGTGTCATGCTTCCCCCTGCGCTCACCTGTGCTGAGAGGAGCTCCGTAGTGCGTGCAGCGGCTCCCCAGAGCGCTGAGTGCCCCTCCGCTACGCACCAACAGGACTTCCTGACCGCAGACCTGCACCTCCATCACCCTGTTGAAATACATGAACGGGGTGACTTTGCTTCAGCCAGAGGAGGAATAACACGGATTATCATTATACAGACGCTCCTCTACTTACGAACATTCAACTTACGGACTTTCAGACATACGAACGAATAGGACTTTAAGTCCAAATTGTGTTCGTTGGGCTCCCGTTTCCTGTCCGCAACATCAATTTTTTTTCTGCGTGCCAATTCCGCCTAGTACGACTTCTGCCCGCTACTCCCGCCACGCATCAGCATAGCGTGCGTACTCCCAGCATCCTAGCTCTTTGTACTTGCATATACCCTTAAAATGATGTTGAACAACGACTTACGAACATTTCAAGTTATGTATGGCCGTTCGGAACGTAACTCGTTTGAAAGTAGAGGAGCGTCTGTACTCAGATTTGAGGCAAATTGCTCATCTGGTTTTCCAGGTGTAAAAATGTGTAGTTAAAGGTTCCAAGTGAGCCACCCTTTCTGTGGGCTAGTGACAAATGATGGCAAATGTGATCATTTTATGTTAATGCTATAGATAAACTCAGTAGCTCTCAAACAGCGTGATGCACACACACACACACACCCTGAATCTTCCCACCATATTTTCAAGACTGGACAGGTCCAGCAAATGGTGCAGAATTTAATGACCTGAACATTTCTTGTATTGTTCCAGCAGCCAGTAAAGTAACATAGAGGACACCTGTCTGCAAAGGGCCATAACTGATTATGTAGCAGGAATTACACCAGTATAATATCCAGGTGTTCCACTGACAGAAGCTCTAAACTGGTGGGGATAAATATCAATTAAATGTAAAGAAGAAAGCAAGCGGCTGACGATGTGAATCTTACTGTCCCTCCTGTATGTCAGACTCACTGCACACCTCCGCTGTTACCACTTCCTCCTCTGGGACTCCCTCTGGCCCAACAATGCCCATGTCTACACAGGAAAATCCAGTTTATTACAGTTGTATCAGGGTTGCCATCTTTCACGCGTCTGACTTTCAGACTCTCGCGCTCATGCAAGAAATCCCACAGTAAATCTATGCTATTCCACTATAAACCTAAAATTAGCTACATCAAAAGTGTTGGGGTAGTTTGCAAACCCTACAGACTATTTTCAAGGTAATAAAACTCTTATATACATGTAAATGCGTGTTCAGATTTGTCTTGAACTGAAAATCTCACAGCCAGCTGAGCAAAGTTGGCAACCCTGCTGTTTTTAGTCGTGGATTGATAAAACACAGTACAGTCTAACAGAGGCTACCCCTAAATGTGAGCGGCGAACCGTCTGATTCTTGCATGTCTTTAGCCATTGTATACAATGCCCCCCCGTGTGTGTGCCTCACAGTTGCTGCCTGTGGTAGTACTTTTAAGGGCTTAATAAACAAGCCCCCTTGTTTCCTGCGGCCACCGCGACATCTCGCTCGGGTATCAGAAGTGGGATGCCAGCACCGGCCCCAATTGCGGCACTGGACAGGGCCCCCTGCGCTCTGCTTCTGGCAGCCCACTCCAGTTTGGCGGGCCAGCAACCAGCAGAGAATCGGCAGCAATGGAGAAGCAGCGGGTATTCTCCAGGGAGGATGGCTCAGGACAAGAAGTTGGTACAGCGGTTAGAAAGGGCACCGGATGCCCTACTGCCATGAAGGCCACTACAGATCCACCAACAGACAAGCAGGGACGATGGAGTGGGGGAGGCGACACCCCTTCGGTCCAAAAAGCCCCAGACCTGTGTAGCACGTCCTCAAGTTGCTCCAGTCATCTTATCGGCTCTCTGTCCGAGACGGTGTCGGCGACCGGGGAAGGCAGCAGCTCCTGGAGGCTCTGCCTGCTCACCGGCCAGATGAGATGTCGCGTTTTGGAGGCCCAGCTGGCCCAGGAGTGCAGCAAGCTGGCAAGGCAATAGGAGCGGGTCCAGCAGGAGTCCTGCAGGAGTGCCTGGAGCAGGGGCGCCCGCCGCAGTCTGGAGAAGCTGCAGAAGCAGCTGGCAGGGCGGGAGAGGCTGCACGACGCTACCAGAGTTGCGGAGCAGCAGAGGAAACAGCCTAGTGGTCAGCAACTGTTCCCCACCAAGCAGTGGAAGAAGAAGGGTCGAGGCCCAGGGCACCCCGTACTGCCAGAGCCTGCTGGCTGCCCAGTGCCCACTGGCAGGCTGGCTCTGCCAGTGGTTCCTGGCTGCTCAGCAGATCTGCTGTCCCCGGAGAGGGAACACTGGCGGTTGCTGCAAGTACTTGAAGACTTGTTGGAGGATATGGCGGAGGACTGTGGATGGTCAACCTCTGAGAGATGGACAATGTAGCGCCGGCAAGATAACCGATAATGCATAATGGAGCCCAGTAAATGTGCTGTGCATGCTAGCAAATGTCTGTAAAAAGCCTTTGTTTGTGTTATTGATAATTCTTGTTGTGTTCCTGATTGTCATGTGTGCCTTCCCTTGTGTCTTATGTGAACCCTGTCCAATCCTCGTGTGTCTTTATTCATTGTATAAATTGCCCACCATATGTGTGCCTTACAGTCCAGCGTCAGACATCCTTATGTTTCCCGGCAGGTATCGTTCAAAGCTGCGTTAGTGCGTTTAAGGGCTCAATGAAAAGCCTCACCTTTCGCCTGCTGCGGTATCTCGCTCTACCAGACATTACAGTATTTTTTAAAGGTGTCGCGTGAGTATAACTGTTTAATTGTGTATTGCCGCTCACCAAATCAACTCGGTAACGGACTTCTGAGCACGACGTGTTATCCACTTACGTGTTTGTTTTGCAGTCATCTCAGCTGTAACAAGTGCACGAAGGGATTCTGTCTCAGACTTTCAAAAAAAAACGATACTAAACGCTGTTAAAGAAGAAGCCCGTTCTGCTCTGCATCTGTCCCCAGACTGCCGGTAGCTGAAAATACAGGAAGCCGATCACATGGGAACTGGTCTCCCCAGTTACCGCTACTACTTGCCTACGTAATGTTCTTCATTGTTTAACATTAAAAAAACACTATTATTATATACACATATATTTAATATATGTAGATCACTCGATTACATGACTAGAACTTCATAAAGGCGATCATTCGCAATGAATGATCACTTAATAAAGTTTATATATATATTTATATATATATATGACGTGATATAGCCTATTACGCACAATATAACGAATCAGTTGGGCTACATTTATTGACACGAGCGGAATACAAATTCACATGGGGATGTTTAATACATTTAAATATTAATATAATTGTGACTGTGAGCTGCTGGGTGCAGTGATAATCGGCAGTTTGGGAACATCTTGGTTTCCCAGTGAAGTACACCAGTGGGTCTACTGCAGAGAGAGTAGTTGGTAAGACCAAGACTATCTGTGGGCTCTCATGCAGAATTCGAGTATGTATCTGAAAACACAAGCAAACATGCTAATTGCAGGGCTCTCAAGTGTCACGCATTGACCGTGAGACACGCCCATTTCAATCGGTTCACATGCTCACACGCCACACCTTGTGTTTCTCGTAACGCCCACCTCGGTGTCCCGGTATAGGCGAGGCGCGGCCATACGGAGGCGAGTTTTCCGCCGAGTAAAGACATGGCTCTGACCGTGACACACGGCTGCGCCCCTAACGGATGTAATCTCACTCCAAACTTCCATTGAAACTTGAGAGCCCTGTAGTTTTAGCGTCATATACTCACGATCATGCCGATTGACCGCTTGGTGGCACTTTTCCCCTAGAATGGCCTAGATCAGTGGTTCCCAACCTTTTTTAACTCACGGCCCACACAGCCAAACACATATGTTTCCG